TCGTGCATCGCACGGGGTACATACTAGTAGTGTTTATAGAAGGGTACATTATACCATTCCAAGTACAAATCTATTTTCACTTTTATGAAAATGAGTAATCATTCTTGTCAATTATGAATAGAGAAAAGGCTAATAATCCAATCAAAAGGGGAATATTGAAAAGCAGCTTATTCAAAGATCTTATTGTTGACAGCATATCTTATTGTTTATAGGAATATTTATTAAATCCAACATTGCTGCAATTTTTTTATTTTATTTATTTATTTATTTTTGATGAAGCAATCTAAATGTTAGACAGGCTGATTTATCGTATTTTCTTTTAACGAAAAATATATTTGTGACATGAAACGCCACATTTTATGTCGTTTTTCAAAGTATAATAGTGCACTTTGAAAATATGTATGTTAGAATATCACTTGTGAGTTGTCCCATATCGTTTATATAGGGAAAATAGACCTAATTTATAAGTCTAGTGGGCTAAATTGATTTTGGGATGAAACCTCACTTGTGTTTCATATGGATTTTCTCTGGTTATGGTGCGCTTCACGTGCGTAGGACCGTACCCATTTTTTTCTCCCGTTTCGTATATAGTATCAGAGCAGATTCTATTGGGACCGACGTACTTGTTATATAAGGAAAATAAGCCTAATTTATAAGTCTAGTGGGTTACTTCTCCCTCCACTAATTGGTTTTGTGATGGAACTTCACTTGAGTTTCATCCGAGCTTTTCCTGTCTTAGTGCGCTTCACGTGCGTGGGACCACACTCGTTTTTCCCCGTTTCTTACAATGTACATATGTTAAAAAGTATGATTTTGCGACCAATAGGTCAATTTAACGCAATTATTGATCCAAGAGTATACTAAATTATATTGTACACTTATATTATAATTTTGTTTTTTAATAAAAGAAAATCAACTAGCATACACAATTAATTTCAGGTGTGGAAAATACATACTATATAACACTGACTAAACTATAGTAGCTAAGCTAATTTCAGGTGGATGATGAAAACACAATATTGTTTCTATTTTTATTGCACCATTCACATGTGCAATAAATATTTTTATAATTTTGTCAATAAATTTTGTTGCTTTCAGAAATATAAATAAAATTTTCAAAATTTTACACATACATAAATGGCTCCTACAAACCCTATCTCTATCAATTATTGTGTTTCATGGTTTGAATGATACATAGTTTACTTCATTTTAAAAAAAAATAAATAATAATAATATTAATTGTTGCAAGAAAATCAATATATATTATTATAAATTTCTTGATTGATTGCCAAAAAAAAAAAAAAAAAAAACTAGAATTCTTTCAATATATATTGAAATGGGAGTGACTACGAATAACCTCGTCAGTTTTAATTTCATAATTCAATTCAAATAAAACTAAAAAGAAATAATTCAATGAAAAATAAAATATCCATTTAAGCTATGTTTGTAAAACTAGCTGATAGCTAGCCTATCTGGTTGGGTAAACTTAAAAATAATATATATCTAAAAGGTAATTTTGTTATATAAAAACTTAGCAATATTAATTGTTGCTACTGTTAATTAGGTGATAAATAGAAGCAAATGGAATAAGATATACAGACCCATCTCTTCACAATTTAATGTGAGCATAAGAAATTAATTATTAAAAAAATACTTCAAATCTCTGCATTTATTTGAAGAATTACCGATTCTTCTAACTTAATAGTTAAACAGGTCAACCAGTTATCATTTAGGAAAAGAAATATATATATTTATGATTTGAAATGTCGTACTTTTATTAATATTACTTTTTAAAGACTAATGGTTCCGTTATATGTGTTAGTCTGTCTATATGCTAAATATGAGTCATTTTCATGGATGTATGTAGGGGTGAGGAAAACTGAGCATAAACTGAAAACTCGAATTGAACCGAGCTATTCAGTGCAGTTTTCGAAAAGTTCGCCTAACGGTGCGGTTTGGATTTTGGAAAACCACAAATATTTCAGTATGGTTTGATTTTTTGTCCGAATGATGCGGTTTTAACCAAACTGTACCGAATATCATCAAGTGTTATTTTAGTTTTACACTTTTACTTATTTGAGAGTAAAAATTTGGACAAAAACATTATATAAACATTTACATTCAAAACTTAAAAAGTGAAAATTTTCATTTTTATTATTCTTGTCCTAATTTTCACTCTCTAACATTAATTTGTAGTTATTCATTTTTAATTTTGGTTAATCAAAAAACCGCACGAACCGAACCCAAATTTTTGGTTCGGTTCGGTTATTCCTTCTGTTGCAGTGTGGTTAGGTGGAGAGATCTTAAATATTCGGTTTTTGTATTTATTCTTTTTTTTTTTACTTAATTAGTATTGAATCTTTGTGAAAATTTACAAGAACCAGTCCATTTTAATTAGGAGAAAGTAACACATCAATAGTACACACAAACATTGAATTTATGATTTTATATATAATAATTTCATTTCATAAAAAATATTAGAATCTGACGTGTCAGTAGGCACTGTTTGAGAACTTTTGTGAGGAAATTTTTGAAAGAAAAGAGATAAAAGATTCTCATAGTAAAAAAAAAAAAAAAAGGCGCCATCGCCATCACTGAGTGTGAACCTTTTTGTTTAAATCCTGATTTTATATTATTTTTCTTTTTATTTTTATATTTCAGTTTTTTACATGAATATGTACCTCTATTCAGGGTTAAATTGAAAAGGTACTCCACAACTTGCCCTAGTTATGAAAAAATATTTAGGCTACCTTTAAAAATAATAATAATAATAATTTAATTTCAATTCTATTTATTGTTTATTGTGAGCACATATTAATTAATATGTCCGCCCGTGACCACTTGCCACGTTTGAGTCGGTGCATAATTCTATTGTAGTTTATATTAATTCTACGCAGTCGACATTATACACGACTTTATTAACTAATCCTCTGATCACAAACGTAAAATTTACAATAGCTTTGGATCCCTCCCAGCTATACTAATACTTTAATCTCTAAGGACAAAAAGTGTCTGTAATGAGAAAAATAAACTCAATTCTTCAGTTGTGTAAGAATTCTGAAAAACTATACATAATAAAACTCGAAAAAATCGAAAAACACTCATGAATTATAAGAATGTATCAAACTCAGAAGAATATGCATCAATCTTTAATTGAGTCTTTGTGTAGGTATTTATACACTCCTCAAAGGCGGTGAGTCTTCAACCTTTCTCCTTTTTAGAGCCAATTTCCTTCCTTCTTTAATTCCTAAGATATGACCGAGATCTTCATAAAGCGAAGCTTATATCTTTATATGCAATCTTCCTTGATCAACTTCCTCTTTTCCTTAAATGCGAGAACTCCTATGCATAAGCAAAATACAAATGGTAAAAAGCAACTATTATAATTATTATTTATTAGATACTTAAGTAAATATATACTTGTCAAATATAAAAATATAGTACATGGTCTTAACTAAATAAGATGGAATAGATTTTTCCTTTTTATTACTCTTGCTTGCTAGAACTTCAAGATATTATCTTAAAACCTCTTGCCAAAAATAAATCTTACATAAACCAATCGTGCGAAAAAAAAAATCAATTCATATCCCTCAATGTTGGCTAGTTTATGGTTTATTAGTGTATAGTTTATTTTTTAAAGATATTCGATCAAATCCATTATTATAATTAAGTATATCATAAATGTACTACTATTTTACTTGTTTTAGTATTCAAGTTATTGGTCTTTTTATCCGCACCCTGAATAAAAACATGACGTGATATTTTCAAACCTTACATGGCGTGATTGTGGTCTATTTGGCGGGATTCGTTGACTTCAAATGAAATGATCCACATCAACCTGAGGCCTTAGCTGCAATTAAATAACATTTTAAAAACTGCAAAATAGCCATACAACGTATTAAATTTTTAGAAATAAGCCGTTGCAATTCCAAACTCTATTTCATGTATACCCATGTGGTCGAAAGGTAAAGAATCTCATACCTCACAAATATGATCGAATTTCCCCACTCGACTGTCTTTACAAGAATTTTACTGTCGGATCAACAAACGTGTATTCTCGTGTGGTCAAAAGATTCAAAATAAATTAAAAAAAGGGCAAAATTGCATTTTATGCCCCGTAACTAGGAGTGTGTGGCAAATGTGGACAACTTCTTTTTGGTTTGCCAAAAGTGCCCTGAAACTTGTTAAAACCCGAAATTCGTGCCCAATTTGGGCACAAATGTCAAATTTTAACAAGTTACTGTCATGTTTTGTCACACGAAAAACCGGTCATATCCGGTAACTTGTAGGTAAATGGGCACGAATTCCGGGTTTTAACAAGTTTTGGGGCACTTTTGCCAAACCAAAAAGAAGCTGTCCACATTTGCCACACACGTATAGTTACAGGGCACAAAATGCAAATTTGCCTTAAAAAAACCATACATTTTTTTCATCGGTCACGGGTAGAATCGACTTTGCTCCCACATCTTTAGTAACTGCATTTACCGAAACTTTTACTATTCGATTTCCAAAAATCTATATATAGAAATAAAAAATAATAATACTAACAAATATATATATATATATA